GCAGTAAGATCCAGGATGGGAGAGGGGATGCTATCGCTCTCTTGGAACAACCATACTTCTACATTTTGCCACATGTTATCCTCTTTACGGGAAAAGGTGAGACAAATTGTTTTTCTTTCTCAAATATATTAGAATTTTAAGGTATAGCAGTAACAAGTTGCAAATATGCATTATAATTCAAGGAGTGAATAGATTCTTGAAAATTGTTTTGGGGTCTTGCATTCCATGTCTTTACTAGGATAATTATGGGTGTTGTTTATAAAAGGATGGATAACACTAGAAGTAGAAGAACCAAGGAATCAAAGATCTTTAGCTGTGGCTGTAGAGTAAGGAGAACCTTTGGTTGCCCATTTCTAAGATTCAAAATGCAGTGCTGCACTCACTGTTCATGATGATAAGAATGTGTTTCACATTCCAATAGTGTCTTCTTCAGGATTGCACAAGTAAGGAGTAGTGAGATTTTCTTATTTCTGATGCTAATAGTTTTTAATTATTAGCATAATTTTTCTTAAATATTTTTACTTTCTTGTTCTCAGAACAGAGAACAGGCAAATAAACAAAAACTAGTTTATTGCATTGCTTGTTACCTTGATTGTGACAAAGCTTAAGGGATCCTTGGAAAGTTCATTGTAAGATTATATGTCCCATTGTATTGCTTAACAAGTTTTTGGCATTATTTTGGGTACATAATATGTATTGTGTTCTGTGAATTCCATATCACTTTTACTTATTTTTTTTTTCTTATCAAACAGTACACCAGTTTGAAGTACATCTATTGACTATATGATTTTCTATCGTTTACATCCACTTTACTTATTGCAGGAAAGATATACAGATGTTACTGTGACCTGTGAAGGCAAATTCTACTCAGTACATAAACTTGTTCTTTCAACGTGTAGTGACTATTTCCTAAAAATGTTTGAAAGAACACCGTGCAAACACCCAATTATTGTGCTTAAAGATATTCATTGTAAAGAAATAGAAGCTCTCCTCAATTATATGTATGATGGAGTTGTGAGTGTGGCACAGAATGATTTGTCACAGCTTATAAAAGCAGCAGAGCTATTGCAATTAAAAAGCTTAGCAGTACCTGATGAACCCCCCGGGTCCTCAGGCAGAAAAACTCAGAATGCAAGGAATTCAACAGATGATAGAATAAGCCCAAATCCCAAACGCCACAAACGAGATCAAGGAGAGACCCAAAATACACTGCAATCCTCACCAAAGTTACCTTTCCATCAAGAAAAAGGTCAGACACAAGATACTTCACTGTCACCAAGACTACCAAATAAGTCAGAACAAGCTGGAGATATAGAAAATCCCATAGCAAGTGAAGGACAAGAATATCAAGCATGCCAAAGACAAGAACAGGCTGAGGATGCATATCCTAACCATGAGATACACCTCCATGATAACCAAGGAGTTGAGCAACACCATATTGTAAAAGATTCTCCTAATTCAGATGCTGAGGTAATTTATCTTATTCTACAATCTACATTTTTTATAAAAAAATCTTTTATAAAAGAAATACAGCATCTTGAATATATTCTTATATCATTTTACTAGTATTTCGTCTTGTTGACAAATTTAATCTTATATTGCATTTATATTATGTAAGAGAAATTATTTATGAAGATGATTTTCAGATGGATGTTTTTTCATATTTTCAGATCATAGTTGATGAGACTCTGATTAAGGAAGAAATTTTGGATAGCAGTAATGAGGGTGATATCCCGGACCCAGGCCTTGAATACAATAGTATAGGTCCAGAATTAGGGCCAGATAGTGGAGAAGGCATGGAAGATAATATGAATCTGGATTTGGCAGCATCTTTTGACCACTCTGATGGACACACCTATAATTCTCAAGCAGGGCCTTCAGGATTGCAGGGGGTAAGTTTTATGGTTTAAATGAAAGTAATTTTGGATAGTCCATAGACTGTAGACCTGCAATCTAGAATATGTTTTCTCTTGCTGGGTAATTTTGCTTGCTACTTCTTCCTTTGTACTGTGTACTAGGCATTTTACCTTTACTTAGTTCTTCATTTGTTATGTTGCAAGATTCTTATATATGGTAATGAACATTTTCCAAAATATGTTTTCTCTTTTTCAATTAAAAGGTTACATAGGTCAAGTACTCAAAAGATTAACTCGGATGTCCAACTAAGCCTTCTGACCACGACCTAGTACTTATATACTGCCTGACTGTCATGCAAAGGAGGTACAACAGCAACTTGAAATATCACTTGATCAACTTGTGACTGGCTTAATAAGATGTTGCCACCATGTCACTAATGTCTGCTCCCTTCCTGACATTATAGTCAACTACTGCCTTGGGTTAGGTCCTCTCGAGATCACTTCAGGACAAAACGACTTCCTCATTCACATAGACTGGTACCAGGCTTCTTATCCAACCACTGAAAGGCAAGCATGGTTGTCTTGATGTTTTGATAATCCACATTAGTTCAAGTCTTCACGGTTAAGTTGTGTGGCAAAAATTA